CAGCAGGAGGCAAAGCGCCGTCCCTGAGGTGTGAAGCAGACCCCCGAGCTCAACACGGGGTTGTTCCGCCGAGCGGCCTCAGAGGAGCTGCTGGAAAGCTCTCGGTCTTGCCATCCTCAAGAGATAAACCTTGGGGAGCAAGCAAGCTGCGACAAGCAAGGTGCTGCCCTCAGGACTGCTTCAGGCAGGGTGAGAGGGTTTTCCTGCAGCCCCCCCGGAGCTTTCACTCCTTTCTCTTCACAGGGCATATCCCCTCTGGCCTCATCTGCCACCCCGACAAGGAGCACGTTCTCTATCCCCTGGGATGCACGGTGATTATTCAAGAGCTGGACACCAGGAAACAGGCTTTCTTGCACGGCCACACCAATAATGTCTCCTGCGTTGTCGTGTCGAGGAACGGGGTGTACGTTGCTTCTGGACAGGTCACTTTCATGGCCTTCAAGGTGGGTAATGCTCTGCTCGTAGCTGTGGAGTACTGACCGGAGAAATCAGAGTTGGCTCGCCGGTGGTGGGAACAGATTGGTTTATTTTTTCTTTTGTTGCAAAACAGATTCCTGCAGCGGGAGGCTGTTGCACAAATGGCTAGTCCATTGCTAGATGTGCCTTTATGGTTTTTTAAAGTATTAAGCCTTCCCCCTAGCATTGGGATAACCAGACTGAGGGCTCTCTTAATTTCAATCCTTCTTATCCAAAGTGGTGTGTGCATGTGGCAGCCTACATCTCATTAGACACTAATTAAAAATTGGTGTTGTATTTAAAGTGATACCCAAGTTCTAGAGCCGCTTAGGGTTTTCAAACACCCTCGACAGGTACCTAGCTACATTTTTAGACCTCTAAAATTCTTTGTGGTTTAATTTTTGCCTATTTGAAAAGACCCTGAGACACCTGGAAGGAATCAAGTATTAGCATTTTTGGTATTTTAAAATCTAAGTCAAATACCTGATGTCTCAGGGTATTGATTCTGAAGTGAAGTAAAGCTACTCAACTGGTAAGCTGGAATAATACTTCTTACAGCACCTCATCTGGGCTGGATAGAAGGTAACCTTGGGCTGGGCTCCTTCTAACAGCTTTCCTGCCAGAGAAAGTTTTCATACCTACTCCTACGTGTCCTATCTAACACTGTCTTTGACCCCTTCTGCTCCGCACCGCAGGCAGACATCATCCTGTGGGATTTCCAGAAGAAGGAGTTGCTTGCTCGGCTGTCACTTCATAAGGGTAGAATTGAAGGACTGGCGTTTTCTCTAAACAACCTTTACCTCCTGTCCCTGGGAGGCCAGGATGACGGCAGGTAACGATTTCTACTTCTTTGCATACTGTTTCTGACAAGTTGTAGGGCATCCAAGAAAGCTCTTAGGGAGATCTCGCTCTTCCCTCTCCTGGCAGTTGAATTTTTTTCCCATTTGATGTCACCCCTGCTCTGTCCCACAGGATGCCACGGGGAGGGGGACCGCAGGCAGAGCACGGGTTACCGGGCAAAACTGAAGGGAACAACTAGTTCTTAAATTGGTGTCATCACCCAGAAACCTTTCGGAGACTGCACAGTTAGAGCCTTAGCACCGTTAGCTGCCTTAATGCACTGGCCTGAAGGAGTATAAATTTCACTGAGGGCTTGCTTTGACACACAAACAAGTAAGAGTGGAATAAAAGGGTGATTTTAAATCAAGTTCCATGAGTGGCCTAAGCTGTGATTTGAGTCTTGCTCAGCAGAAAGAATCCGACAAATACACATCCCCTTGCTTTAGGAGTGAGGGATATGAACTGCGATTCCACCCATTTCTGGGTCAAATCTCAACTTCTGCTGCATATCCTGGTGGGAAGAGACTGCAGGAAAATAGGTTTTGCCTTGCTTTTGTTTTTAAGTAGTTTGGGTTTGAGTACTGTTAACAAGTGAGATAAATTAAAGCCCTTCTCCTCCTCCTCCTCCCGCAGCGTGGTTGTGTGGCACGTGGAGAAGAGAGAGGCTGTCTGCGGGAGCCCTGCCTCGGCACGCAGCGCAGGCAATGCCACCGTCGTGGCGTGCTCCAGCTGCAGGGACGAGATGTTTGTCACTGCTGGGAAGTAAGGTTTTGTTTAGATGAAAGAAATGGGGGAAAGAACCCGTGGACCTGTTTCCTTTTACAAAGCGTCTTTGCTGAAATACAAGGAAAACTAAGCAACTGTCATTTTTCTTTTTGTTCTGAATGGACCCACGAATATCCATCAGCTTGTCCCTTTAAGGCATTTCTGCTTATTCTCCATACAACAATGTTTTCAAAGCAGCACACAGGGACCCGCATGCGTTATTTCTGTTCCTGATAGCGGGATTTTGTATTAAAATATTTACTGCCAGTGTTTACACAAGAAAAGCACTCAATGAGTGGCTCTGAACAATGGTTAATTAATGTAGGAGCAACGATATCTTGCAGGTTGTTGGGTCGTCTCCTACCCTCACCAGATATGGTGTATGGTTGGTCATTGTCTTGTAACAAAAGTTGGTACAAAAAAGTCACATTTTGCATGGGTTTGGGGCAGCTCCCCTGTATCTAGCCTGGCATTCAGACGTGTTGGTGACCTGCACCTCGCTTTAAATCAGAGAAGGCTTCGGATGCTCTTGGCTGCAGTCGCACTCATGAGCGCTGGCCTTTGCGATTTTAATACTTTGGTAAAATGTGAGAGTGCCTGTGTGCCAATATTTTATATTGACCCTTGTGCTGCTGATTAAATTGTGTGAGAAAATGGTTACAAGGTTCCTGTACTGTTTGTTTCCCATTCTAGGAACTCAGATTTCCACAGTGCACGTCTGGGAAATGAAGTGTCAAGGTTGTTACACACTCCTCCATAATCCTTGTACATACTTTTGCTGAACCTTGACAATTTTGGTTTATCTGGAAAAATTTACTGTAACAGACAGCAGAAAGGACAGAGACTTCCTTCTGGCCTCTCTGATACTGTTCTTTTCCTCCTTATTAAAATTTCAGAATGATGTAACCTTGTAAAATCTTTTTAATTCTTCCACTAAAGTGAAAAAAAAAGCCTTGGATATTCCTGCATATATGGATTTGATCCCACTGTATTTGTTCTTACAGTGGGACCATTCGAGTATGGGAACTGGATCTAGCAAACAGGAAAATCCACCCAACCGAATGCCAGACAGGACAACTGAGGAGAGTGATCACGTGTATTAAGGTAAGTTTCAGCCAAAAATTATTTGGCCCAACTGAGAAACTCTCTACAGACTAGAGAAAACCCATGAACTTTTTATAGTAATGCTCGAAATGCCAGTTACAACTGGGCGACGGCAGTGAAGTTGCGACATGTTGGCTCACAGCAGATGGCCTCCCACAGTTTCTTTTTCCTTTTAGAGTGTTTTGAACATTTCTGAGGAGAAACTGTGTATGTTTTAGTCATAGGTTCTAGCACCCAGCAAATCCCACTCTTGCTTCAAAATATTATCTAGTTTTGGTTCGGAAATGTCTCACATTCAGCAGCATTATGGATCTTTGTGTGTGACAGGATGAAAACATTGGCTGTGTCCCCTCAAATTAAATCTTGGCAAGACACTGAAATAAAAGCTGTTTACACAGCCCAGTGCTAGGCTTGGGGCAAGTGTCTCAGTACCTGGACCATGATCTCCTCTTTCTTTTTCTTCTTTTTGTGCTTTCCTATAGATGACAGATGATGATAATTATTTTTATGCTGGCACCTCGAGCGGTGATATCCTGCGAGTGAACACAAAGAGCAAGATGATGACTAACTATGGGCCCCAGAAGGAAAAATTTAGCTTGGTGAGTAGCAACTTTGCGTCTTGAATTTTTTCTTTATCCTCCCTTTTGTTGGGAACTGAAAATGAGGTGACCTGCAGGAGAACTATTGCAAAGCTGATTCACAGACTAACCCTTTTCCTGTGCTTTTAGTTCTTTGTGAGTGTCTCAGTCTTGATCCTGAAGCCTGAGACCGTTAGCTTGGCTTTGTTCAGTTTCATTCGGCTCCAGATTTGGGGGTTACCTGAAACTCATGTGTCATCCCACAGACTCTCCTCTACTCAATCTGTTAAAAGACATAATGAGTGAAAAATAAGCATAAAAGTGGAGTAATTGCTGAGTTGGGTGGTTTTTTTAGGGAGATATTTGCTAGAGCGAGACAGAGGACATTTCTGGAACGACTGGGAGAAGTGATTATTGGAGAGGCTTTCCCACACTTATTGCTAGAAGGTCCTATATTGAGATTTTACAGATTTGTTAAACTATCTGGGCTGAGATTTTCCAAGACTGCCATTTGCCACAGGAAGAGAATTTTGGAAAAAATTCAAAACGCTACAGTCGCTTTTACAAAAACCCCAACCCTCTTCCATTTTTGTGTTTGTTCCACATAGCTCCGCAGCTACTTCAGATTGACCACTGGTCACTTTGGGAGAAGGGAGATGAGACATTCATAATAACAAGTTGTCCCTCCAATCTTCTCCTTTACCCTGTTGCTTAAAACGGAAATTTCTATTCTAAGACAGGCTGTTCCATCAGAACAAGAGAGGGGATTCTCCCCCTTTACTCTGCTCTTTTGAGATCCCACCTCAAATATTGCAGTCAGTTCCGGCGTCCCCACCGTAAGAGGGACATGGATCTGTTGGAACGAGTTCAGAGGAGGACACGCAAAGATGATACAGGGGCTGGAGCAGCTCTGCTGTGAGGACAGGCTGAGGGAGCTGGGATTGTTCAGCCTGGGGACGAGAAGACTCTTGGCGGACCTTATCACTGCCTGCAGTGCCTGAAGGGAACCTACAGGAAGGCTGGGGAGGGACTTTTTACAAAAGCGTCCAGTGATAGGACAAGGGGAAATGGATTTAAGTCAAGGGAAAATAGATTTAGATTGGATCTTAGGAAGAAATTCTTCAGTGGCAAGACTCTGGAATGAACTGTCCAGAGAAGCTGTGGCTGCCCCCTCCGTTGAGGTGTTCAAGGCCAGGTTGGATGAGGCCGTGAGCAACCTGGGCTGGTTAAGGGCATCCCTGCCCATGGCAGGGGGTTGGGTTAGATGATCTCTAAGGTCCCTTCCAGCCTTGGCCATTCCATGGTTCTATGATTCTCTGAAATCAGGAAATTTGTCAGGGCAAACCTGTATTGTCACAGTCGCTGAGAAGGTGCTGGTACATATTTATCTCCAGTGACTGTCAAGTCTGCTTTTCATACTTTCCGTTTCTCCCTTCCTAGCTCCATGCTGTGATTCCCTTTCCACCCACCCACGGCACATCTCTGCATACAAATAATACCTTGTCACTAGACTGTCAACAAGTCCTCGCGGAACGCACGTAGAATCTAATGTTTTCTGGCAGAAATTTCCAGTTGAAGCGTAGCCTTCGATGCCAGAAGAGGTATTTTGCAGATGTTTTTCTTCGAGTCAAACCCACAGCATTTATCAAAACAAATGTGATTGCATCCTTGTTTCTATGTGATTTAGCACATCGTGTTTCTAACCCTGGGAGAAGGGCTCATTTTTGGCTTTTTCCCCCCTGCAGAGCTGTGCGATTTCCACGAGACGTCTTTGGTCTCTTCCTTGAAAATACCACGTATTAGTACTTGTAACAAAAATTCTCCCCTCTCCAGCAGCACAAAGCTTGTTTCAGAAGTGAGCCGGGCTGTTTCCAAGTAGGCAGGACTGCGCCAAAGCCTGGCTTTCGGGACATGTGCTGCCTTTCCTAACCCAGCACCTCCCTGCTTCCCCGGCAGCGAGGTTGGCCAAACACCCTCCAGTGGTGGAACTATCCCAGCTTCCCTCCCCGGGGAACAGGTTTTCATCGCTTCATTGCAATTCTATCTGAAAAGCTGCGTATTCACGAGGGAACATGAGCCGGTGTCTCTGAAAACCTCCTTCACCAGGGAATTGCGAGCCCGTGACATACCATGAAACTAAACCTGGCATCCACAGCCACACCACGACGAGCATATCTTTAAAGAAAGGGTTTAGATACTGCTTGTGTGAGGAGGGGATGTTTATTGAAAATAAGGTTGGTCAATCTTGAAGGAACTTTGCCTTTAGATACAGAAGAATGTGTTTATTACGCAGGTATGATCAGAAGATTTCTTTGTTTCTGTTTTGAAGAGGAGTGGCACAATAGTTCACCGGTGTGATAAAGCAGCTTGTTTTCAATCTACACGGAATTACATTTAAGTACATTTCTGTAACATCCATAAATACTGCAATAAACAGCAAGAATAATTTTTAGCCCCATCACAGGCTTGAGGAGCTATAAGGCACCCCTCCAGATGCAAAGCGGGATGCACGATTGCAAATGCGTTTTCAGAAATAGTTGGAGTTATATGCATTGTAAAAAAAGAAGAATATATTTGAAGGAGGTGCACTGAGAGAGTTCAAAGGGGGCTCAAGAACTTTGCGAGAGAGATCAGAATGGGACAAAGAGCAAGGATCCCTGCAGGGAAGGGAATGGGCAGGCTGGATTTTTACTGGTATTTTTATTTATAATGGTACTTCAAAGCAGTGGTTTCTTTTGGTACGAAGTAAATAGGGAACGGTGATAATTTTAACCTCCTACATTAGGCTCTGCGTTTCATCTACAAGAGGTCTGGCAGTGTAGAAAATATTCATTGCATCATTAACGTGAACTGCTTGACTCCGTGAACAACAAGCGCGACTTATGAAGCTGTTTACTCGTGGCGATTCAAAGAACAAACTTTACAAGAAAGAAACACAACGATCAAGCTAAGGTTGAAATCAAACTCTAATGGTTTTGAGATCCTGGCGATGAATCCTGGCTGCTTTCTGTCTTAGCGTTACCCGCTTCCCTCTCAAACTGAGGAACCGAAGAGAATACCTCAGAAAAAATCAAAGCAGCCTTGGCAGTGCTGCAAAAACTCTAATTTATTAGCAAGTAGCAGAGAACTGTAATCAGATAAATGACATAGTTGTAGGTTTGATATCGAATGCCGCCACCTGCCACAATGCTAAACCCAAAGGGCATTTGAGGTGGAAGCCTTTTAGAGGAGAAACTGCAAAACAGCAGATCAAAAGACAGGCGATGGGCCTGTGATAACGGAGGTCTCGCAAAACACTGCCAACACCTCATAGGAAATTTTTAAAAACATTGTTCAGAAACAGTGCTGCTTGTGGATCCTATTTCTAATTAAAAGGAATCCCTTTGTTCTTGTGCTTTCGCTACGAATATTTGCATGAAACCTGGCCTCCTGCCTGGGAGTGTTGTGATAGTACAGCATGAAATCCTCTCTGGAGGTGGTGTTTTTCACAGCACTCAGTCCTGGTGTTACTGGAGCCTGGGGATGTGCTGCTAGTGGAGAGAAACTAATGAAGAAACCCAGTGCAGTTAAATTACAAATCGGGAAGAAAATAAATTTTTTTTTTCCCTGCAATCTACGTTTATTTCACCCTGAAGTTCAATAGTCCTTTAGCTGACGTGTAGGAGGTCGCAAGGCTGCTTGGAATGCCTGCACTGGAATGCCCACTTGGATATATGGTGATTAGGGTTTTTTTTTTCTTCAAAAATGCAGTCTGTTGCTTCTATTTCGTTGGATAATTGAACCAAAGTAATTTTTCCAGATTCATCGGACCCCGTCTGTAGCTTTTGCAGCATCCTTTCCGGGTCTAAATAGCTTGAAAGTCCATTTTGTTTTCTTTCTTCACTTCCTCTCTCACCTTCCTTAGAGCTTCTGTCCTTTCCACACAGAATATCAGCACTTTCTGGCTTTCATCTGTTTTAACACTCTGAAACTGTTTAATCCTGAAAATTACCGGGGTTAGGCTGGATGACTGCTTGAAAAGAACAGGAATGCTGGGCAGTGCTGCATAGATGTCAAACTTTATCATAAAGTGCTGACACCCATATTTGTTCAAAAATCACAAGCCAAGCACATGGCAGTGATTTCTTCCTAAAGAGTAAACGCAGAATTATTCTGATTTGCCTCTTGGTTATTATTCTTACAGAATTCACTTCTTCAGGCTTTCACAACACCAAATCTTCAGGGTGTTTTCTTTTTCTCCAAAATAGTTGTTTTCGCACAATGGCTCTATGAGCTCAAGCTCATTTTTCCAAGAAAATGAATCGTAATATTGTGAAACTGCCGGTACTATCACAACAGTTGGCGACACTGCTTGTTAACCCAGGGAGTGGCAAATGGTGCAGGGAGTCCTTACTGCAACTGAAAATGTCAAGCTCAACAGACTCCTCACAAGTCACGGCGAGCCTGGAGCTTCTACCAGCTGGCCTGTGCCTCCTGGGCACGCTTGCTTCGCGACAGAGCTTAGTTTTCAGTCAAAGTTTTGATGGCATAAAGCTCTTTTATTTCCCTTTTTTTTTTCTTTTCTTCCTTCCTTCTGTTTCGCTCATGCCTGTGTCACCCGAAGCTAGTATGGATATTGTTCTGAGTAACAATATCATAATTTAACCCCACAGAAGTAGTTTTGCCCCTCTTGCCGCCTATTTCGGGGTGTCTCAGATTTGCAAGAATTATTCTGTTGTATATGGAAGAGTAATATTCACAGGTAGCGGAACTGAAGCAGAGGCTGATTTTTCTCATACTTGAAAAAGAATGGTTTTGTTGGTTTGCTGGTTTTCATTGTTTTATTTTTACTGTACTTTGATACTTTAACCACAGAAAACCACTTCACCTTTTTCTAATGACCGACCTTCTGTTGATCCACTCAGTAAACAGCAGAAAACCACAGGCTGACTAATTTTCAGAGCTTTTTGTGACCGATGTGTTTTATTACTACTAGACATAGATGGGATCGCATCCTTCAGGCAGGGATAGCGGCCTGGGCCACGGAGGTTCTGCCTAAAAGCTGCTGTAGGAAAGGACGCTCAGGCTGAGTTTTATCATCTGTTGTTCTCTTGTCTGATAGATGAAGAACCAGTGGTAGGAAAAGTGGAGGCACTAATACAAAATATGTATTGCTTGTTGGAGCAAGGTAAGTGGTCCAAGTTGCTCCGAAAGATGACAATGCTATTTATTTCCTCCTCATACTCTTCATGTAGACCTGTAATTAATAACTCTTTTTCTCCTGCCTCCCTCTAGTCTCTCTTTAGCCCAGGTCAGTCAAGGAACATGCTAAAGCCCTGTTGGAGTGAGATAAGCACCGGCATCAAGAGGGTGATGGAGACTGCGTCGTGCTAGTCAGCACGGCTGCAGCAAAAAAGAGATTCTGCTTCCATCCAACGGTGTTTTAATCCGGTTCTCTCCTAGGGAGTCACAGCTTTGCTTCTGCTGAAGACGGGAGATTTAATAGTCGGCACCGGAGGAGGGGTTGTAGCTCTCTGTAAAGCCTCCAACTACAAAGTGATGAAGTGAGTTTGTAGATGGGAGGATCGGGAGGGTAGAGGTGACACTTCCCCCAAAGGGTCGCTGTATAAAGACCAGTCATTTCTATGTAAAGGTATAATCCAAATAAACCTCAAGTTTTCAGGCCTGCAGATGAAATAGATGGGATGGTTCCAGCGTAGTGATGTTAAAGTGGGCTGAAAATTACTGCCTGTATTTGCACAGAGGTGAATTGCCCTACTCATCGTTCATTTTAAATGACCGTTGTTTCCTTTTAGGTATTAGGGGTCAGATGCTAAATCAATGTAAAGCAAGGCAGGTCTGTTGAAGTCAGTAAAATTATGCTTGCTTATGCCAGCTGAGTAAGAGCGGTATTTGCCAGCTAAAAAAGAGTTTGTTGGGATCATAAAGGAGGGCCTCGCTAATTTTATAGGCACATATCTGGCCAGCCTCAACAGTTCTGTGATTCTGTGTGATGCTGTGAAGTGCTAGAGTACGTGTGAGGCTTTTTTGTGCACACAAAATAAAAAGCTGCAGACGTTGCTTCCCTGCATGTGATTTGAAAATTGGGCTCACAGCTATTCTTTTTGCGCTGTTTGAGTAGCCAACTTAAGTGCGCAGTTCTGCAAGCCTAGCTTTGTACAGCTGAAACAATTCCCAGAAGATCTGAACTGTCTGGAATTATTCTTGAATATGGGGTATTTAAGTTCACTTGAGCAAGTACATCAACAAAGATGCTGTTACCTTCGGCCCTGGTCCAGAAAACAAAGTCTCCGAAGCGCTGCCTCTGCAAGCCTGGACAGAGCAGCAGCTGGGACAGGCGAGATCGCATGAAGTATTAACGTGTGACTGGAAATGAAATGTTGATCCTGACCACATTCTCACATCTTGGTTATTGCAGCCTGGGATGGAGCTTTTGGGGGAAGGGGGGAAGTCAAGACTCTCTAAAGTCAGGGGAAAAGGGAAGCTGAAGACACCTTGAGGTCAGTGTCAGACCAAACCTCTGCTTTCTCTTAACAGGAAAATTCAAGTTCAAGGTGCTGTCACTTCCCTGACTTGTCGAGGTCAGGGTCACCAGTTCTTTGTCGGGACAAACGAGTGCCAGATTTATCGAGTTAACTACACCACGTTTAAAGAGGAGCTGATCGCTACCTGTCATAAGGAAGCTGTTCACGATGTTGTTTTTCCTTTGTGAGTAGAACTGGCTCAGATGCTTTTTCACTGGTGAAGAAGCTTGATTAAGCTGCCAGGGAGGTCAGGCTACCTCTGTAAAACACCTTTTAACAAACAGGAACACCCTTACGGGATGATTCATGTGTCACCTACCAGAGAAATGCAAGGGTGACAGTGAAATGTGATGGGGAATTGCAAGTGTGATGGTGAGTGGCTGCTTGAAAGCAGAATGCAGCAGTTCAGTTTGAGACTGGGAAAAATTATCGATCTACAGAATGAATTCTAAAAAAAAATAAAAGACTAGAATTATTTACATTTGGGCAACGGCAGCGATGGCAACCTACCCCTTTTCTCCTAGGCTGTGTGCTATGAGACTCAGGCCTCGGTCTGCCAGCGGTGTGAATCCTAAAAGCCTGCTTTTGTGTATCCTATTGCAGCTAGAGCTTGCAGAGTAACATCACCTGTAACATCAGCTGAAACCTAACAGAGCTCTCTGAAGAGGCTCTTGGGGTCTCAGCTTCACTTACGATTTCATGTTTGACAAGATGGCATGTTATATTCGATTCTAGGCTTGTGACAAGAGCTGCTGGGTATACTGGTGTCTTCTGTCTGCTTTTGTCTTGTCCCTCTTCCTGTAGAGTAGGATCATGACACTTTGTTTAAGAAAGCCACAATGAATTGGTTGTTGCCTTTCCAAAGAGAGAATGGGAGCTTGATGCCAATGAAAGGTTTTATTTTTGGCATGTTGTTACTGCTTTGCTTCTTTGAACAAAATCTTATCACAAAGGATCAGATCTTTTCAAGGTTCAGCGAAGTGCACAACGTGAGATGCCCTCGTCCTTCTTGTCACCACCCTGAAAAAGCCGCATCCTTCTAATTTAATGAGTAAATCATTTGGAGGTTTAGGGTAATCTGATGCTAGTGCACCTGACTGGTACATCTGTGTCACAGAGGTACAGGGATGAGCTAGATTTAGTGATGAATGTAAGGACTGCAGGACTACATCCTTGCTTATCTGTTAACTGCTTTTGAACAGAGTGTGTCATCAATGGGGAAATGCAGGCATAATTTCCCTGCTCTGGCTTATTTCAGAATACTTGAATTGCTTTATAAAGCACATGCACAAGCTGAGCCTGAAGGGGGCCACACTTTTGTTGTGCCAGTTTTCTCTATCCTGGTTCATCTTTCTGGGCATTAATGGTGACGCTGAACAAAAGCTTGTGGTACCTTTCTAGATTTCACTTTCTGCTGTATCCGTGGGATGTAGGATTTAGAGCTTGTTTCAAAGCATTCGGTCCCACAGCCTTTGAAATGCTGCAGGTCCTTTTTCATTTAAACATGTATAACAAGTATATTACGAGCAGGCTTTTGCCATCGTTTCTATTGCCTTCAGCACCGTTGAATAGGAATCATCCAGTAAGCAAGATAAAAAATGACATCTTTACAATATGAGGCCACTGTTAGTCCCTGAAGTTAAATCTGGGCAGTCAGCACCTCTACACCCACTTTTGTGTCTATTATATACAACACGTGAAAGTTGTTTAGAGATTGAATATGAGAAATAAATGTTACAGCTTCCAAAAACTAGAAAGTATTCTTCTAGTTTCACTTTAAGTGTTCCTTAAAACAAATCTTCGAACAGAAACCGAACCAGGGGGATTTCATGTGAGAACGGTGGTCCTACAAAAAAAGCATTTTGTCTTGACCATGGTGATCCCTACTGGGAAAATCACAGTCGTGTGTTACAAATGACAAAGCTTGGAAGGAAAATTTAAGATCTGACAAAGAAAGAGGCGTTTTCTCCTTATTTCTTCTCTCTGAATTCTCCAGGGGAACCTCAGACTTGTTCGCTACCTGCTCCAAAAATGATATTCGGGTGTGGCACACCCCAGAAAACAGGGAGCTCCTACGAATTGTCGTCCCCAACGTCACCTGCCACGCCATAGAGTTTATGAGGGATGGCAAGAGCATCATTTCAGGTAATGATCAGTCCAGACCCATGGCTGAGCCCAGTCTTTCAGTGTTGCCAAAGTAATCAACATCCATATGTCAGAAGGAAGAGAGGTTTAAATTGGGGGTGGATTTAAATTCAATTACACTGCTTGACCCAAAGATCTCTTTGCTTGCAGTTGGTCTGATGAACTTTGCTCACAGCCCCTGGTATCCTGGTGCTGGACTTACAGTGTATGTGAAAGGCACCATTTTAAGATGTGAATTCCAGCAATTCACAGTTCAGTCTTATTCAAAAGACCTTATTCTAAAATATTAACCTTGTTGTATGCAACACATTAACCTGCGATGTACGTAGACCCTTTTGCACAAACTCTGCCGCCCATCACCATATGCAAACTGCTTACACAGGAACTACTGGGATCCTGGAGCAGTGATGCAGTCCCCCTGTTTTTACCAAATCAATTTTCCCATAGCCAGAACCAAAAAAGAATTAAATTCCAAGAGTTTATTTGGGGTTATAATTCTGCAGGCTTACCTGCAGTATCATAGAATCATAGAATGGCCTAGGCTGGAAGGGATCTTAAAGATCATTCAATCCAACCTCCCTGTCATGGGCAGGGATGCTCATACAGCGATTTTCGCATATATACTGGTCATCTAACAGGATGGAACTGTTATAAGATATAAAGGAACTTAATTGCAATATGTAACATATGTATAAAGAAATTTAATAAAGGGCTTCATTTGGAAACGAAAGAGAGACAATGAGACGAGGGAAGTCTGTGCGCCCGGGTAATCTGTTTCTTTTTAATCATCAGCTTGGAATGACGGGAAAATCCGTGCCTTCCTGCCAGAGAGCGGACGGCTGCTGTATGTGATTAACCATGCCCACAGCCTGGGAGTGACGGCGATTGCTGCCACAAGCAACTGCAAACGGATCCTTAGCGGAGGGGGCGAAGGGCAGGTAATTTTTTGCTGAGAAACCTGGAGCAGCTCCATGCTGTCTCATCCCAGGGCCTGCGAGCTGGCTGGAGCTGCTTCGGCAGCGAGTGAGCTATTCTTAGCCCTCACTTGAGCAAAGGACTGAGCTCAAAAGTATTAGCCTTTGATACATGCAAATCTCTTGCTCTCAGAGGGCATAATGTAAAACAATGCCCCGATTTCTTCTGGCATGGTAGTCTTGGAAATCCTCCTAATGCAGAATATGCTCTTAATCCTTTTTGTTCATTTGTCTCTCCCCTGTGTTTGGCTTTTCTGCGTTAGTCATTGTTTGCGAGCCTCCATCTAACTGTGTTCCAGCACAGATTTTCTTTCTGTCATTGCTTTGGGAGCCTTAGTTCTGTCCAAATTGACCTGTATGAATTCATTTAATAGCACAAAGTTCAGTTTATAATGCCTATGGGGTAACTTCCTAATTTTCTAGGAGGGTACTGTCTGGTTTAGGTGATGGTGCTAATAACAGACTCTAATAAGAACTCAGTTTCTAACACAATTGTGGAAACATTTCAATGCAAAGAACAAAAAAAAACCCCAGAGATTGTGTTGTAGCCATCACACTTGTGCATTTCAACAAATATTTTTTGGACCATACAAAACAAGCACCACATACTCCATAAAGTTGTGGTCATTTTCAATCTGTAAAAGTGACACTCCTCTTCTAATGTTTAAATAATTTAAATGCAGGGGGTTTGTTTATATGGAAAACAAATAATTAGACCTGGAAGGCTTGTGTTCAGTTCCGTGCCTTGCTTTGGACTTCCTCTCTGCCATCTGGCAAGCACTTAGAACCAGACGTTTAATTGTGCATGCATTCCTGGTTGTGACTGAACAGCTCTGCGCTTTGTTTGTGTACCCTGATCTCAGCATGCCGTTGCACGGGAAGTCTTGAAAAGTGAGGGATTGAACTTAGGTCTTGCACATCTCAGGCTTATGTCCCAATCGTTGAACCATCTTTATGAATCATTCTGCACCTCCGCTCTCCTGGAGAGCAGTAGCAGCGGCGCTGCCTTGTCTCACTGCATAAAGACATTAGAGATGATGAGCCACATCAACCCTTCACTAATGAAAGAACAGTTAAGTGCCTCAGATGATTAGTGCTAGAGGATGCAGAAGGCAGAGGACCTAGATTCTGTATCAGCACACACAGGCTCTGGTTAGTTGATCTCTGAATTGGAAAAGACAGCCGAGACAGAATTAAAGCTAAAGGTTGGTTAAGTAGAGATGAGAACTGCAGGGGAGCGCTTGCAGTATTCATTTGGAACACACAAAAAAAGATGTTCTGAAATGCTAAGGGCTCTGTCAGAATCAATCGTCTGAAAGCTGTGACTTTCAGGGTTGCTTAAAGGATCTGGATGTTCTGATCATTTAGCAAGTGGGAGCTGGACATCCAGCTCCCACAGGTAACTCAGCATCACACTTGGAAACATGGAAGGTCAGCTCCCTCTGCTTTTGATGTCAGTGTCTACATTGTCACTAGGATTTCACCTTAGCAGAATGTAAAAGCCAACAGATTTGAAGTTCGGCACTAGTGGGGCAGCAAATGCAAGGTGTGAAGGATCAGGTCCTCAAAGCAGAGCAATTTTTTGCTGTTACCACCACTGGTAAGAAAAGAGGTGCTTTCAGGCACACATTTCACATCAACCATTTAAAGAGCTGGTTTGTATTTACGTACTGGCATTGTGTGTAGCACAAATAGCACGTAGCTTTTTTATATTGCATTTCAGAAGCCTTGCTCTTTGATCTTTAAAGCACTGCTGGAAATATATCACGGACTCGATTTTTTTTCCTGGTCGAGAGATGAGTAAACTGAAGCATGGGAGAGTGGGAACTTGGCAAAAACAAGGTCTGGGGTTAATGGTCAGGAATTCCTGAATCAAGTGAATTACACTCTCAGGAGCTCAGTTCAGTTTTATGAGTCAGCTGCATGAATAATCCACAGGAAAATAGGGATGGTCCATGGAGGTCAAGGTGCTCTGTGTGTTATAAGCTAAAAAAAGAAGAGTTCAGGAAAGCCTCTGGCATCCTCCTGAGCTCAGGCAGGACCAGGTGGTACAAGAGCATGTTTGTTGCTTATTTTCAGGTGAGAGTCTGGGAGATTGGTGAGAGGTCTCACAAACTGGCGGAGATCCTGAAGGAGCACGTATCTGCTGTCTCCTGCATTAAGATCAAGAAGGATGACCAAGAGTGTGTCACAGCCAGCCTTGATGGAACGTGCATCATCTGGGATATTGTGTAAGGAGGCAGATAAGTATTGCAAGGCACTTAAAATGCGGATCATGTCTCTGTTGGGTCACCGCACCCTATTTGGGATACCAAGTAGCGAGGAGGAGGGGGAAAAAGAGTATTAGGAAATAAGAAATGTTAGGGAGAACAATCAGGTCATGTAACGGAGAACCTCCAATGTCAGAGACTTTTCAGAAAAGTGCAGACAAGCATTTGTCTCAAGTTGTTTTCTCATATTTGATCCTGCTTGGCCAAGGGGGTGGAGAAGGTGATTTCCTAAGTTTCCCACTAGCTCTGTTTTCCAGCACTTTATGACTCTTCTTGAGCTATTGCAGATCCGCATGTAAGAATAAGGAAATTTTCACATAGCGAATAGCACCTGGAAAGTGTTCTGGATTAAAAAATTTGTTTCATATGACAGCAGATCAAAAGCCTTACAAGGCCGCTCTGATGGAGAACAGAACTGATGACCCTCATAGGCTTCATGAAACCCTGAACTCAGAACAGTACCTGGCCATACTCAAGTAGAAAGAGAGATCTGATGTACAGCACAGGCAGAGATAGTTCAGGCAGTCCAAGTTCATTTTTCACCCTTGCTCTATATTGTTTTGGGGGTGTTTTGCAGGCGTTTTGTAAGAAAGCAAATGCTTCTAGCCAACACGTTGTTCAAATGTGTGTGTTACCACCCTGAAGAGTACCAGCTAATCACCGGTGGAACAGACAGAATGGTAAGCAAAGTTTTTGTTTGCAGTAAGCCCAGAGCACAAAGTCTGGGGCTTGGGATGTGGTGAAGCTCCTGAACCTCCACAGAAGGTTGTGTCACAGGGCAGTGCTGAAATCTGTGTGCTACGTAAGCATGGCTGAGCTCTCTCCTCTCCTCTAGATTGGATACTGGGAGGTATTTGACGGCTCTGCAATCCGAGAAGTGGAAGGGTCTGCCTCGGGTTCCATCAATGGGATGGACATCACAGCAGATGGGGCATACTTCGTCACAGGTGAGTGGGTGGATGAAACTGAAAAAGAGGAGCCCATGTTAAGAGCAGGAAGAGGAAGACAATGAACTGAGGATCTCAGTTAAAAAAAAAAATCTAATTGGAGGGGTCAGCTAAAGGGGAAAATAAAATGAAACACTGAAGTGCTTAGAAAAAGGCTGTAGTTCAGACTTGGAAGACATGTAGTGTAGGTTCAGTCTTGCAGGATGTAATATAAAGGTGAATACAAGGTTCAGATGTCTCCATGGGAATAGCACAGGGTTTCACCTTGCCCTGCTCCTCCTGTAGTTCAGCGGTGTTCACCCTGCACTTGAATGATTTGTTCGGGTGCCCTGCTCCGCCAGCCTGGCAGTCTCTGCTGCTTCGCGAGCGGGAATGACTCCAGGCTCCATCCCGCCTCAGGCTCACATGTTCCCCACCACTGTGACACCTCTCCTGGGAGCCTGGCAGTGCACAGAGGAATATTGTGTTTCTTGGCTGTAGTTAAAAATCATGGATTTGGTGTCAGCACCAGTTCTTTTAGATTAACCTCTTAAAGGAATGTTGGTTAAGAGCCTTTCTAAGGCCTTGCATATTATTGGTACCAGCTGCTGGTTGTAGCTCCCTGTGATCTGCTGGTGCAGGCCCTGACTGCCCTACTGGACACTGACTCTCCAAGCCAGTAGAAAAGGAGGAGTTTTTGCCATAATGCCCAAGACAATGTACCCCACCCTTCCAAAACCAAGTGGACGCCTACATATTGCCGTGCCTGCGACGCGGGGCCAAGCAGCAGAACTCCCTGTGATCGTTTGTTCTTCCTTTGTGCCCGGCGCAGGTGGCGATGACCATCTGGTGAAACTGTGGAACTATAACGAGGGTGCGGTGACTCACACCGGAGTGGGCCACGGTGGCAGTATCGCCCGTCTCAAGATCTGCCCCGGGAACAAGTACATCGTGAGCGTGAGCGCAGACGGAGCCATCCTGCTCTGGAAATACCCCGACTCACACTGACGGCTGGCACGGGAGCTGCTGCTGCCTCGACCAGCCCTAAAGATCCTTTTCTCTTCCAGCTGAGGTTGTTTTAAAGCATTTGTACTCTCCCAGGAGATACTATTTTTATATTCTCTGGTATACATTTACCAGATTCTTCGGTTATCCTTTCTAGCACTGAATAAATAGGTCTGATTTTTTTTTTTCTGGGGGCTAAAAGTTTGCTCTTCTTTTTAGATTGGTGTGAAAGGTTTCATCGCTTCTGAAAGTCATCTTGCATGTTGTTACTGCCACCTTTCCTGATAGTCTCCCAGCATAGCCTTACTTGTCTGTCCGCTGCTTTCTGTGGGCTCTCTCTTGCTTTCACGTGGGCTCTCTCTTCCCTACCCCCTTCTGTCCTTTCTTTTAATGAATAACTTGTTGTGTAAATTCAGTCTTCTGTGTTCATTTTAATTTGCCCGGTCCTGATTCAGGAAAAAGCCCTTGGCTCCGACTCAGCATTTAACTGGGAAGCTCTTTTGAGTCGTGCTTTTAAATCAATGTTCTCAAAGGAATACAAGGATGTCGGGGCTTCTTCATTTGCGGTGTCCAATTTAAAACTCTCTTCAGGGGCCTGGTTTTCAAGAGTAAGAGTGCAGTCATTTCTAAAAATGCCTGGATATTTCCAGCTAGGCACACTCAGATTCGTGGTTGCTGGCCTCATTTTTTCCAACGGGTTCCAAATTTGCATGAAATATGTATCTAGTCCAAGAATGAGTATCCGGTATTATATCTACTATTAAAACTAACAGCTTTCCAGATACTGTTTGTTTAAAGATCAGTGTAGGCAGGCAGCCTGTGAAGTGATGCAAGTGAAGTAAATATCTCTTTTGCAGGTTATTGAAGGCCTGCGAGAATTCTGTCATAAATTAAAAAGCCAGCAAAATGTTGCATTCTTAGTGTTAAGGCTTACAGACATTCTAGTTAACTGAGTTGACAATTTAAAGGCAGTGTCAGCGAGATACTATCCCACCTGTATTGATAGTATTAGCTGTGCCAGTAGGCAATGGGGGTTGGAATTTAAAGGTACGGTTGCTTATTATTCTTCACATGCCCTTAAAACCATTTACTTCTCATAGTGCAATAAGGGTGGATCAGACCAGCTCAGAGGGTGTCTGTGCACCCATACTGTCCATCAAACACCCTGCAAGTCGTATTCCTTCTGGCTGAAGTATCTTATTAATGGAGTCTTTAGCAAAGGAATTAAGTCATCCCTTCCTCTTTTTCGTTGGAGTTAGGACTTGAGGCTACGCGGTGATAAACACTCCAGCAGGTTTTACAAGCTCTGCAGCAATGCTCGCTGTGGTTTGGAAGGCAGGATCAAACCCCTGGAATGTGGGAGAGACCGGCAACACATTTGTGCTTGTGCTGGGAGAGCGAAAACAGAAGTGGAGCCTGTGAGAGCTCACCAGGCAGCCCCAAAGACCTGTGTCATGGCCAGCTCCCCGTGCTCCTGGGGCCGTGGGGTTCTGAGATGCAGATAACTGTCCAGCAACCCCCACATCAGGAGAGCAACCCCGTTCCCATCAGATCACACCACACCTCTCATTACAGGTGGGAGGAGAATGCAAGAACCCATCGGGGAGTCCAAGTCCTGTTTTGATGTGGCTGTTCCTGGGGTGTAAGGACAAAAACCCTGCACACCCCTCCTGCACTAGCTGATTCTTCATGGCTCAGAGGCAGCAAAGCCGTCCTGGCTCACCTGGCCACTATCACCATTGATTCTGTGGAGGACACGACGGGTAAGCGCTGGTCAGCCACACTTTCTGTTTGTGACAGCCAGCCAGGAAGCTCAGGCGGTGTGTCTGTCACCTTACAGATTTGAAAACCGAGAGTGTGGTTTCTTTGGAGAAATCCTGTCCTGCTCATCCTTCTTTGGTGTGTGAAGCAGCTCCACTTTATTGAAACCAGCCCAAATTCTCAGCATGGATGCTGGCGGAATTTGTTTGCTCCGGTGTAGCCGGCTGATGTAGGTCACTTCCCGGGGTGGTGGTGGGGACGCTACATTTGGAAAAGATGAGCCGGAGCTCATCTGCTTTCCAAGCAGCACTCCTTCCCCCGGCACAAACTCACCCCTCCCGGCACACCTCGCACGAGCGCTAAGAGCCCCGCGCACGCTCCTCACCGGCACGGCCGCGCTCCCCGGGGAGCCCCCAGATCTTTACAAATGGATGTGACCTACATGAACAACGCCGAGGAGCAGACATGCGGAGCAACCTGTGCTGCTCTCCTGCCAGAAGCCAGGTCACGTTTGGAAAACACGAGCTGTGGTCACAAATTTCCCCCGGCCCTGTGTTGGTCTGACAGCAGATGTGTTGTATTTTGCAGCATGAACATGTTCGTCACGCTATCGTTAATCACGAGGAGCCGAGCAGTTAATAATGGAGCTCTGTAACCCCCGTACGCAGAACAAGCTATTGGCGTAAAGCACTGAGGAGAGCCAGTGCCCCTCTCTCCGCCCAGGCAAAGGGAGCTGATGCCGCTCGGTCGTGTCAGCAAAAGTGAAGAGGTGTCACTGGCATGTTTGCACATCCATTGCATATGCTCCCGACACCTCTGAATTCTCTCTATCGAGCTGAATTCTCAGCAGGAGGAGGAGCAGCAAAGGGGCAGGATGCATATGGACACTCACCGTGGCTGCCCCAAGCTCCCTTACACCGTCTCGGTGGACTCCCGTGGTGCTAAAGTGGAGTTAAATTCTGGTCCCTGTGAAAATCAGGTGCATACTGGCTTTTGGAAGTGGCTTCATAATCCTTACCGTTAGGGGGCAAAGAAGGAAAGTTATGTTAAACAGACTTCAGTGATGCATGACTTGGTGAAAGCAGTCATGGGCCATGAGATGGGAGACCCAGGTTTCCAGCTGTACCAGCAGCTGACCCAGCACAATGCTGCCATCACAGCACCTCACAGCACCGCACAGCCAGGAATTTGGCTTCCTCCCCTCTCTGGGAGCTGAGTTATCCTGGGCTCAAGGCCACAGACACCACTGACATACAGCCCTGTGGAAAGGTTTGCATCACCCTCCCTCCCTCTCCTCAGCACAAAAGCTTCATACTAAGTTTTTTTTTAGAAAGATTAGCATCTGAACTTACATTTTTTGCTATTGCTGATTTGCACATCCCTGCTTGTGTGGAAATGGGGCACCCCGGTGCTTGCCCTAGCAGGGATTTTGGGCAAAGGTTAGCGAGAAACAGCCGCTCAGCCTGTTGGTGATGTGCCATCCCTGGCCACTGGCCCTTAGCAGAGTTCCTGGAGACCCATTTAACACCAGATCTGAATCACCTCCCCAGCCTTTCTCATCAAGCTGCATTTCTTCTGGTGCTCCCCGATCTGCCCTGTCACCCGGAGCCTGCTAAGAGGGGTGAGCTGAGCAACACCTCAACACTAAACTGGTGCTTTCCCAGTCCCCCAGCAAAACTGAGGCTGCTGGCTGAGCAAACACAAAGTTTCATGCGTGTAGCTCTGCAAGCTGGTTTTGTTTATCCCAAGGTGCGAGGCTGGTTCCCACCTGAATCCTCCAAGTTCCCCCAGCCTGGCCACGACGCCTGGGAGAGCCCCGGGCACTTTTTGCAGCACAAGCCCATGTGGGGTTGGGAGAGCCTGGCTTGTTGCTGGTGTATCGGGGCTCGGCTCGCCCTGCCCACCCCCAGTTTCTGTGCCTGCTGCAGAGATCGCGTCGTCTTACTTCAGAGGGGGTAATGGGTGAAAATAGCCCCGAGACACCTGCTCAGTGAAGCAGCCAGGGAGCATACATATGCATTAAAAACAACGCGAAATTGCTGCAAACAGAGTGTGCAGGAGTTCCGGCAGCTCAGGGTTATCTGCTGGCCTTTCATGTTCAAAATCGATGGAGCATGTTCATCGCTATTCATCAGTAGGATGCGAGATCCCTGCAAAAGCAGCATTTACCTGCCCCGATGCTCTTCCTCCTCAAATCTGCTCCGAAAAAAGGCAAGGCCCATGCATCTTTAATAGGGGTGCTAAATAACTTAGTTTGCTATCTATAATTTAATTATAGTTGGAGAGGCTGAATAAGGAGGTACCTTCTGCAGGGGGAAGTGCTCTCTTTCTTGCCTGGATCCATAAAATTGGCTGTCACCGTTAGATGGGGGAGCTGCAGATGCTTCTGCAATCATCCTCCCCAAACCAACGCCATCAGATTCTCAGCCCTATTTCACTGGGCAGACCACCGTGACAATTCTCCTTGGGACCTAAAGGATTTATTAAAAACCACTGTGCACTTCAATCACCCTCGCATGCGCCCAAGAAAGCGTTTGCCATTACCGAAATCTGCAAAACCCGGCACCAATGTCACCACCCTGATCTGCCCAGTGCTCAGTGGGGACACGGGGAGCAGCTCACCCACGCTGGCCCTCCCGGACCCACCTTGTCTCCCCTCAGTTCACCCTCACCTGCCCCGCAGGGCGCGATCCCCGGCAGCGAGACAAGGGTTGTTGAAAGCACGTTTCCACTCCGCCGCACAGATGTTCCCAGCCCGTGCCAAGAGAGCGGGAGAGGCTTAAATAAAGCAAACATTGTCCTGTGGCAAAGCCCAGCAAGCATGTAGGAAGATTTCTTTCTTTTTTTTTTTTTTTAATTTTTATTGTGGTTTGGCAGCCTGAAAATGGGTTTCTGCCAGGCCTGAATCAGCTCAGCTCTATTCAGGACTTTTTTCTTGCGTTTATCCTAATATGCAAGTTCCTCCCTGGTGTGGAGACTCTGCCCAGCCAGAGGAGACGTTTCTAATGCCGTCCTGTCACCGTGTCACCCTAATCAAACCAAAACTATCTGTGTTTTTATATTCATCCTGGCCGTCTGGTGTCCAAGGCTCTGGGACAGTTCATGCCGTAACAACAAGGAATTTTCCATAATAGTGAGCAAGCATTTCCCTCCTCTTTGCATTTGACATTTAAATTTTCCCCAGATTTGCTCCAAAGGCTAAGCCTGATACATAGAAAACGGCAGCTTGGAAGGCAGAAGCT